GATAGCTTGCAGCATCAGGGTTTTGGATTTTTACTTGTTGTGAACAAGCCTCAGCTTAGCCTGACTTTTCCAGATCTTACTATAATCTTTTAACAGACTTAAGGCAATTATTGGAGTGTTTATAACCTTTGGGCAGGAGGACTTCCACCAGTTGTCCCGGGAAAAGTATGACAACATTTATGGTCAGGCCTCCAACAGGCTGGATGCTGTGATGAACCCTTTACCATTGTTCAAATGTTGCCCATACCCCCTCTGACTCGGTCTCTTTGCCTCAGCATTCCCTAACCCGGCAACCGAGTTTTAGTCAATCAAGTTTAAATAGGCCTCCCATAGTGGGACCGGGGAATGTACGGCCCGAGATGCCTATTAAATTTGGAGGGGGGAGTCCTTTGTAAATCCACATTAGAACTGGTCTGATAAATGCTGAGCTGGGTGTGTGAACATGGGTTGATTAGCATTTGGAGCACAGATTCCCCATCATGCAGTGCTCTCCTGCTTCTCTGATCCCAGAATTCACTGCAGTCTCTGCTTCAGGCTTTCTGTTTTCCATCTCTCATGTAAATGAATGGTCATCTGGTTCCATCTCAGATGCAAATGAGACCTAGGGCAGTTGTTTCACTCTTGTCACCCTTATCTGGAGGGTTTTAGGTGTGTCTCCCACTGCATCTTAATCAGTTTCGTTTAGGTGGGGGGAGGGAATTCTTTGTGAGTCAGACAGCCTGTGTCCTGTGCCACAGTTCCCCAGGAACACACAGCTGAGAGGTAACACCTGCGTGCTCCGCCCCCACCCAGCCCCACCACCAGGCTGGGTCAGGAGCACCCTGCTGAGATCAGCAGTGTGGGCCTCTCTTGTTCTCTGGCGCTTCCTGGGCTCACTCCCGCCCCAGCCCCAGTAGTCTCCAATCCCCAGGGGTTCTGGGCTACAAGTTTCTGCCTTCCCAGCTCTTTCTCACCCAGCCCCACCCCAATCCTGGCTAGGCAGAGCCACGTCCTCCCTGGCCTGGTGCTGTGGCAGGGCTGGTGCACGGAGCAGCTGGGAGCCCAGGGCAAGTGGGGGCAGGTTCTCCCCTCATCTCTCAGAGTCTCTGGGACCCTTCTCAGACCCAGGACACAGCCTTTACTGCTCTGCCAAGGGGAAGTGGGTCCCGGCTGGAGCCCGGTACTGGGAGCAGGGTGGGGAAGGCTGGAACGTGGAGCCTGGCAGACACAAAGGGCAGGGGGGCGAGCAGCACCTTCCTTGAGATGGCCCATGCAGGCTGGATCGGAGCATCCTAGAGCCCTGCTCCTCCAGCCCGGGTACGAGGCAGGTGCGGGTCGGGCAGTCCTGGAGCAGGGTTGGGTCCCAGCCAAGCCGGGCCTCCCACCTGGGGGAGTGGGCCACAGGGCAGCAGCATTGGACCTGGTGGTGCAGCCACAGCTCCACAGGAGAGTGTGCCAGGATCCCGCTGCTGCCTGCAGCCCAAGACAGGCTTGGGGTGAGCATGGTAGCCAGGGCATGTGCCCCCTGGGCCTCTGCTGGAGTGTGTTCAGCCTCTCCCCCCCCCCCCCGTCGTCCCCCCCCCCCCCCCCCCCTTTGACTGGACAAGCCACCTGGGCTCTGACCCTCCCCTGGCCTGGCCGAGGCCCCACTCACCCAATGGCAGGGGGCACGGCAGGGCATCGAGGGGGATTGTTCCACTCATTCAGCCCAGCCCCAGGCAGGAGGGGGCGCAGGTTGGCTGAGCCACATGAGTTTTGCTACCATCCCACTGCTCGTACATCCCGCTGCACCCAATTGCAGAGCCTCTGACAGTCGATCTCAGTCTGGGCATTCGACCAGTTGGTGACTAGTGCAATACAATGTTAAAAGCAACTTTAAGGTTAAACATGTTATGAAAAAAATTAGAAGTGATCTGTCTGATCTTGCATGTGGTTGACCTGCAATGTTTTTCTCTTCTTACATTAAATGCCCAACCACAAAGCTAAGCCTACTTTCACTACTACATTAAGGATATAGTGTGCCACAATAAGGATAAAGATGCTATTTTAACGTGACAGAGATTTCTCTGGCACCTGCCAATCTTTAGTTTTAATATTTAGATTTTAAAAGCATCCAGAAATCACAAACTTCTCAGAGGTATTTAAGTGTCTACCTAGCCCTTAAACGATTTGAAGTTAAGTTTCTAAGTATCTTTAAAATCTGGGTCAAATGACTAATGTTCAGTCTGTACAGGGACAGAAGTTACACATAAACCAATTTAAGTGATCAGAAATTGTTTTAAACTTGTAACAGAATAGAAGTTCAATGCACATAAACCAGTTTTAAAATGGCTGAAACTGGTTTAAAATAAACCTGGTTGAATGTAGTATCAGACTTAACTGATTTGCATCAAACTGGTTTATGAAACTTTTGTCCAGAGCTGTTCCTGGTTCAAGTTAAATCAGAGTCCCCCAGCATCCCAGTATTTTGCTGCCCTGGGCCGGGCTGGGCTGGGCTGGGCCATAGGCGACTAGTGCTTCCTAAGTCGGGGGGGGGGGGGCACTTGCCC